CATATTCCATCCGTTCAAGAGCAGCAACTTGTCTTAAAGTGCAGTAGTGTTTCTCACATGTCCCAGTTCGGCTGTTCACTTTGAAACTATAAGTGAAATTCCTACATTTAATGCTCAGGAGAGGTCATAGGCACTTCGTGTAACAAACCTAATTTTCTTGCGTCCTCTTTTGACAGGCGAAGTTTGCCACTAAGACTAATTTACACTAAACGGACATGCCGAAAAATGTACGTCACTGCTTCCGCAGTAGAAATACTCAGTCTAATCCCGTGCAGCAACTGCAGTCTGTCGCAGTGCATTCGACCAATTAATGCAGTGCCTGAAGCAGGTTTTTCTTCATTATTTTACAATTTTCTGAGGGTATCAAAATTTCTTGAAGGTTCAGATATATTGCGTAAACTGTAAAGCTTGAGACAAATAAGTTAGTATGCACTCAACGGGTATAAAACTCGTACAAATACCAGCAAAACGCTTAAAAAACGAAACAGTTTAACAAGTAAAATATGGAAGTGAACCGACGGACAATCGAGTAACGACCCTGAGGCGGCTGCTCTGCGATGAAGAAAGTGAAGGCCTTCAGTGTGTCAAAGTTCGACGACGATTGTTTTGGCGAATACGTCGTACAGAGAGCGGTTGAAACGAAACGCGTACATTGTCACACATGCCGGAAAGAGAAATCCGAGAGCAAAATTCTTCGTTATTGACCGAAGCAAAGCACTAAAACAAAACATGAATAGAAGCTAATTAGAACAATAACGAACGTGGGCAAATGGTTTTAAACTGTCAACGCTGCACAATAAGCAGGCCAGTCTACACAATAAGTCGAATGCAACAGTCTAGCTAATATTATCGTTTGCTCAATGGATATCAAGTATGACAATAAATACATCATGTCTTCGTGCAGGATAAATACAGATAATGGCTTCTACAATCCTCTCGTTCAGGTACGTCGTCAGTACATATACCTCTCTAAATCCGAGACAGGTTTTCTACGCAAAACATGAGGGGCTTGTGAGCAAAACCTAAGCAGTGGTTATCGACAATACTCTTTAAAAGACTGCACGTAGATAAAGGTCCAGAAATATGCTCGACTAATTATTTTGTCCTGGACCTCAGATGCGAACCCCAATTGTCTATATATCGATCATTCGTAAAGGAGGGCGACTCGAAAAATGTTACAAGGCTAAAAGACAACTGAGTGGTTAAGGTATATCTGTCGATGTTAACACTGACAAATGCTACCATTATGTTATTAAAATCCCAACAATCCTTTTCATGCATTAAATTAATTAGTTCAGGTATCCAGGTAATTAAGTAAACAGCCGATAGAAAGAACAAGAACAGCAACAACAACAGTCCAAATAACTAGATCAATACCGAATTAGTGTAATGCGTTGAGAATCGCCAACGACAATTACGTGGCTGTTGTCTTCGACGCTGACCGGCATCACTGAGTCTGAATTAATGACCTTGATACCAATTACGTACTTGCCGGGTGTGCATCCTGGAGGCACTGAACCGACGCCATAACTCAACGACAACGCCTAAAAACAAGCCTGAATAGCGAACAATGAACAAAACTTTAAACGTGCCTCAAAAACGCTGATTATCAATTTCTTCGCTATTTCGATCGGAAGCAGTTTTTGACTCAAATCGATGAACAGCTTGAGATCACCTTCTGCAGCCAGCAATTTCTCATATTCTTCTAAGTGGCTAAAAATTCAGAAATTGTACTCACTAAATATGAGTGAAAAAGCAGGTTACATTATTTCATAATCCGTCAAAATATATGTAATAACGATGCTAATAAAAAAGCAGATAAAAAAGTCGATACACTCAGCCATCAACCGTCTACCGAATGTAGGTATCTTGAACTGATTATCTAAAATATCATATGTAAGCAAGTACGCAAGGGCAATGCATTAAAATACAAACTGTGTGCAGTAAATGAAATTAGGCTGCTTTGCATTAAAAGCCCTTCGCTAATATAGCCTCAGAGTCTCTGTCGTGGAGAACCGAACCGACAAGAGCCAGAGTAAAATATCGCAGTCAGGGTGCAAGATGATGAAGAGGGTTTTCCTTTGCTATGACACATGTCAAGCGCTCTGAAACGATTATGTAACTAGAACATGGCAATCAGAAGTTG